AACGCTGTAGTTGAAAAACAGGACGCGACGCGACGCTTCGACTCTGCGCCAGTGTGAGTTGAGCCAAACTGTCATGGCAAAATACGTTCTATTTATTTAGCTTTTACGTTTTAACTTAAATTAGGGTTGAATTTGGTCTACGCGGCGGCCGCCCGGCAACCGTGCGGTTTTATTATTCAGAGAAATTTAAATATTCTTGCCTAGTAAATAGAATTCAGTTTCGCCATTCGTATACATGAAAGCGTGGTAAGTGGGCAGTCGCGCTAAAACTTTCGCGTCGTGTAACTGGGCGCTAAGAATATTAGTTGTTTAAGTTTTTATTTAGTGATATTAGGGGTTAAAGTATGAAATTGCCGTTTTATTGCAATAGGTTCTTTGAATTTTCATAGAATCTTCATGGTTTGAGGTTTTCGAATGAAACTTTTTTCAAATGGTTTCTGTGAATTTTTTTTTTTAAATTTGAAACATTTGAATATCGACTTTCAATTGTTTTTGTTATTCAATTTAGACAAGAAAGATGGATACTGTGAAAATTCGAGTGATTTTTGAATACGAGTTCCGACGCGGAACTAACGCGGCAGAAACAGCCCGCAATATCAATGCTGCGTTTGGAGAGGGGTCTTCTAATGAACGCATCGTGCGATTTTGGTTTAAACGCTTTCGTGATGGAAATTTCGACTTAAAGAACGAGCCACGAGGAAGACCGCCCACACAGGTGAATAACGATGAATTAAGAGAGATAGTGGAAGCCGATCCTAGTCAAACTACCCAGGAATTAGCGGCATGGTTTAACGTTACCTTACCCACAATATTGACTCACTTGCGTCAAATCAATAAAATAAAAAAATACGAAAAATGGGTGCCTCATGATTTGACTGATCTGCAGAAAGAAACGCGTGTTGAAACTTGTGTTGCCTTGTTGAACCGGTACAGAAATGAAGGAATATTGGATCGAATTGTAACATGTGATGAAAAGTGGATTCTTTATGATAACCGGAAAAGAAAAATGCAATGGCTGACCCCAGGTCAAATGCCACAACAGTGTCCTAAAGCAAAACTTACCAATAAAAAGGTAATGGTAACTGTTTGGTGGTCTCAGCATGGTATTATTCACTATAGTTTTCTCCGATCTGGTCAAGCAATAACGGCAGATGTCTATTGTGCCGAACTCCGAACCATGTTGACAAAACTAGCAGTAAAACAGCCCCGACTCATGAATCGATCTTCACCATTATTGCTCCACGACAACGCGAGACCTCACACAGCACGAGAAACCATTTTGACCCTTCAGGAACTGCAGTTAGAAACCATTCGTCATCCTCCGTATTCACCAGACCTTACTTCAACGGACTACCATTTTTTTCGTGATTTGGACAATTATCTACGTGACAAGAAGTTTTCTTCCCAGGAGGCAGTACAAAATGCTTTCACACAGTTTGTGCAGTATAGATCGTCGGAGTTCTATCGCAAAGGCATTAATAACCTTCCCATTAGATGGCAGCAATGTATAGATAATAATGGCAACTATTTTGATTAAATAAATTTGTTAAAAATTTAAAAAATAAACAATTTAGATTTTCAGTACAAATCGGCAATTTCATACTTTAACCCCTATTACTTTCGTGATATTTCTGTTTATAAACAAATACAGCTTTGTATATAGATAAACAATTATTAGCAAACATGCAGGATAGTACCGTGGTAGCCTAATGGTTTGTCCTACCGCCTCTCAAGCAGAGGCCGTGAGTTCGAATCCGGGCTCGAACCTCTCAGTTTCTCAGAACTTGTATGCGAAATTTAATTGGAAATTTACCATGAGCTTTTCGGTGAAGGAAAACATCGCAAGGAAACCTGTACGTCGAGGAAGATTTACTACTCTCGGAAAGCGTGTGAAGTCCCCAACCCGCATTGGGCCAGTGTAGCGGACTATGGCCTAAACCCCCGCCTGAGAAGAGACCCGTGCCCAGCAGCGGAACGCATAAATGGGTTGATGATGATGATACGGCATATTTTAGGTGTACTTAGATAAAAATCGATAAAGAATTACAAAGATCGAACACTTAGTAAAAATCCCTCGATCCGGCCGGATTCGAACCGACGACGTCGTCTCGTAAACCGTGCCAGACACTGTGCCAATTAAGCCACGGAACGAATCACCGGGCCTCACGAATTTTTCTGTGCCGTTTTTTCTAAGCGTTTTTTTTTCGATCTTTATATTAATAATTATAACAAAGTAGTGAAGTAATTTCACAAATAATAATTGAATATCAATTCAATACAAATTTAATGAAGTAATGGATTTTTGTAAAAATTTTAATAAAAACCTGTACCTAAGCTGTGTGATTTTTAACATTTTAATACGTAAACTTGTGGTATTTGTAATTTAACCTAGCACCATTTTTAAGTTTTCAAATTGAATGCACGTCATAAATCTGCAAAAGCCAATTGTTGCCAGAAAGCCCGATCAAGAAAATCGAGAACCATATCGATTAAACTCACAAGAACGACACAATCGAACGCGAACGTCGATTGTATGCATTCCTATTAAGTTTTTGTTTTATTTAATTTTCTCGATTACGAATGTTATTGCAAGCGGTCGTTTGGTAAACTCTGGGATGTTTGTTATTTGAGCGGATGTATTGTTTTATTGAAAAACAATTCGGAAACAATAATTATATCGAATTTTATTCTGGTGGTAAGCGGCAGGCCTGTCCATAGCAGCTGCAGTGCCACTCAGGGCTTTAAATCGCAAAGATATGTGGAGCACTGCCACTGCGCCCGTTACCCTGTGACATAAGTTACCAAGTCACATGTGCCTGTAATTTCACCAGCACCCATACCCTTTAAAACCGGAAGGCAGTAAAGTGAGCATTACTGCTTAACGACAGAAATAGGTAAGGTGCTGCTAAACGTGGACGGCAAAACATTGACAAATACAAAATAACAACGTTGTACACAAAAAGTACGTACATTGACAATTAAAGCTAGAGACGTTTACACAAGGTAGACAAAGACTATTTAGAGGTAAATCCTTTACACTGACTAATTAATTTACTCAACAATTTTTCACTGCCAATACAACAACCGTAATGTGCCAATAATGAAGTCATAAACTAGGAAATTCTCAGTACCAGAGCACCGGAATTCACCTCGGCGCACTACCTAAAACAGATCAGTACCAATTTGTTAAAAGTTAATTTCCAATTTGGTCCTACTGGTTATCGCTCCAGTGACGTCCACATCCAGCGTAAACTGTTGAGCCACTGATGGCATCAAACGTCATAACTAGAAGTAACACAAATTTCGAATCAAATCGACACTGGAAAATGTTTAACATACACTTGAAAAATATTATAAAAAAGCGATGTAAAGAATTTTTTATTAAGATAAAAAAAATCTTATTTCTAATTTTATTTGTTATAAGAAAAACTAGAAACTTTGAGTTTTTCCATGTAACAAATAAAATTAGAGTTATGATTTTTTTTTAATTTTTTTTTAGTCGTTTTATCTTTCCAGTGTCGAAGTACAATGCCACTGCAACGTCAGTACCATAGTATAATATGACAGATATGGTAACTCCATACAAACGTAGAAAACACTGATAGGCCCAACGCGCCTTTCATTATTATGCATGCACACATGCAAGTCCTGCTGTTATTTGGTGTGGCAATGATATTATACTTATCTGTGCGGTGTTACCATACTTATTTTATTTTACTATACCAGTACTACAAGACGCCACTTGCGCCAGAAGCGACATAGAAACGCGAGACTAGTACTATATTTTATAAGTACAGATAATATCATGTGAAATGCAGTGCAAATTTCTAACTAAACCAACTGTTTTAGAAACAGTGAGATCACATTGGAATAGAAATTATTTGTCCCATTAATAATGCTAAACACTTAACTCAATTACCGGTTGCTTTCCTACCGGGAATAGATTATGGTAAGAATATAATTCAGATACACTGTATATTTATCGTACCTATAAATTAGAACCGTCTTAGGAATAACAAATTTTCTTCTTAATGCCAGAAGCTTTGAAGTTTACTGATGACTGTAATATTAATCACTTTACCCTAACTTACAAGTTAACATAACTACTCGCTCCGCGTTAAACTTAGAGTAATTTTAACTGACTTCGTCCTTAATTGGTTGTATCCATCAGAATTGAAAATTAGATCTCAGTTACTTGAAATTCAACCACTTGCTCAAACTACGTAATATTAAAGACCGAAGAAGATAACAAGAAGACAATTATATGCTCACACTGAATAACATAATATCTATCATTCTTTGGTTATACAAGTAAACTAACATTAATGAAGTGATACAATATGTCATTCAGTTTTTTTAAATATTGAACAAATTGCTATGCAATCTGAAACGAAACCTACAATTTAACATTATTTTATAAATTAATTAAGAAATTGGTACAAAAAGAAAAACTTAACTCTAGGCTGCTAACAGCGTAATAAAAAGCAGCTTTTGTGCGACCGTACATTCACCATCTAACAAAAAATAAATACCATTTAACTAATGTAACTAATTTATCGTGCTATTATAATTAAATTTGACTACTTATAATACTTACTTACTCCGTTAGCTCAGCTACCCGAAGTGGGTCTTGACCCTAAGATATGACACCTACTAGTTGGCGCCAGCGCGCTCTATCTTGTGCGATCTAGTTCTGTCTTTCTCCAATTCGTCCCTCCATAGGTATTTGAACTGACCAACCGGTCGTCGACGACTAGGACGTCTCATGTAGGCCCTTTTCAACGCCCTATGAACTGGCATCTTTTGTCGAGATGTTCGAGCCAACGGAGTCTTGCCGGTTTGATTTCTTTTCCATGACATTGGGGTCAGACACGATTTATAATACTATAAAATAAAAATAGAAAACGTGAATAAGCATCAAACCCATCTGCTGCTTGATGATTTATACGCGCGTTAAAAAATTAGGAACAATTTATGAATGTATAATTTCTTTGTTACAGGCGACGCCGACATGTCGCTGAAGCAGGGCAGCGGCACGGGCAAAGTCCATTTTGGCGGGCTGGACGATGTTTCCTTGTACGGCACGCCGGTGGAACCCGCCCCTCCCGCGCCTGACGCCAAGCAAGGGTTCCTTCGCAACCAGCTGCAAGCCCTCTTTCAACCAACAGACAACAAGCTCGCCATGAAACTCTTCGGGTCGAAAAAGGCGTTGATGAAGGAACGGATCCGGCAGAAAGCTGCGGGGCATTGGGTTATACATCCATGCAGTAGTTTCAGGTGAGATCTCTTTTTTAAACTATTCAACATTTATATGGCTAGAGTTTGCCATTAATATAAATGGCGCGTCCCAGCGGTCATAATAATATGAATATGAAGCGATTAGTTCAGCGTCGTAAGAAAATCATTACCATAGACATATCCCAAATTTTCATTTAGGAAATCATCACATTTATTGACCCAGAAGGTTTGAGTCAATCTGAAAACACTTTCAGAAGAATGTCCGAAGGAAGAAAGACAATGCAAGGTTTAAATCTGCTCCGACGCGACAACGAAACGCACAATGACACCCTCGCTCTTATTACATGGATAACAAAGTTTTTTTTTGACCGTCTCAAAACAATTCCACGTTAATAAGTGTGGTGATTTCATTAATCCTGTATGTCCAGAGCGTACGTATCCTCGTATCAAATACCTTAGTATAATAAGACAAATAGGGCAACGCCATACAAATATACAGCATGGCTTGTATGAGTGCACACTCACACACGCACCCTATCTCGCGGTGCACTCACGTTGCACAGGGTGGGTTGTCGAACGTGCCATTCATTATAGACTTGAAGCCTTCGCTCGGTGATTAAAAAGTGACATTAAAAAGTAGACGTTTTTATTGTTATGTTTATGCTGATTTGAACATGAGTGACTCAATAAATTCTGGATTGTTCTGCATTTTATTTCTATTTTACAATCATACTCCCATAATCGAGATATCGCCAGTTACCTTATCTATTTCAGCCGCCAAGCAGTAATGTTAGCATTACTGCGTTCCGGTTTTGAAGGGTAAGAGTGCTGGTGAAATTACTTGTAAACTTATGTCTCAGGGTGATGAGCGCAGTGGTAGTGCCCCTCAGATCTTTGCGATTAAAGCTCTGAGTTGCACTGCAACTGTTATGGACAGGCGTATAGCTTACCATAAGGCGCACGGCTTGTTCGTCCCGTCACTTGATATTATTAAAAAAATTTGCGATACTGGTAAGTAGCAATAAGTAAGAACTGCATTTAAAAAAGGTTATTTCAATATAGCACGAGAATACTTACTGTGAAAAACACATACATTTAAAAAAAATTATGTTTACAACCTGTACACAACCTAACACACACAGACACAACTAAAATAATAATGTGACAACCCTACGCCTACGCCCCGAGAGAAGTGTAGGTATTAATGCGCCGAAAGGCGGGAGTTGCTCTACTTGTTTTTGCCTTATTATTATTATTTAAATACTTTCAAATATAACGCTTTTGGCCCTTGACGCTGAAGGAAGGGGCCCATTTAACCATGTAATCGCCACGTAATACGACTGTAATGACTGCCAATCGGAGTCCCTCATTTTAAATAATTTATAACCCTAAGAGTGTACGCTACTGTCGTAATTAGTTACTTTAATTTATTGCACAACTTGCCTGAGTTGAAAATAAACAAAACTGTAATAAATAACTTAATTAGTTACCCATTTAATGGAACAATGGATGCAGCCAATATGTTTGCGTAAATATATAAAAGTTGTGTGTATAAATACTGAAATAATGAAGTGTTAATTCTCAAATCTTTCGTAGTACTTTAGAAATTAATTTAAAGCGTTTTTTTGTACGGTAGGCATTTCTAACTACTACAAACTGCTATTTCATAGAGTTTCGTTACCCATGACACATGGTCATAAATCTTGAGTAATATTTAATGATGCAAAAATGTCAACTTCGTACGTTACACGCATGTTTGGGACATGCACTGTACCCTTGAGAAATATAGTCGAGGATATACATATACATCGGAAATGAAAACTATTTAATTTTTTTATTGCGTATATTTCTCTTTTTCAAACAAACCAACGGCTGATTAAGACGATATTAATCATTAACCCGTTATGTCTAACATTAATGCAAACTGCACCTACAGTTACAACAAAATATTACAATAGGGTACTTAAATTGTACGCAAGTTAGATCATCTGAAACAAAAATTTTCATTTTATAGAAACCTAAAAACAAGATAAGTATGTTACTTTTTTAAATGTTTAATATTTTCTTAACATTTTCTACAAACTAAATATTAAATTTACAAGAAAAATTATTTTTAATAAACAAATGAAGTCTACTTTAATGTACATTGAAAATTCACACAAATATGAAACGACTAGTATTTTTATGGCAAACAATAATAATAAACATGAAATATGTAAACGTATTTCAAAACAATAATAAATAACTCTTGTTATAAAGAATTAAACCTACTCGTCGAATTAAGATTAATCAGTCAAGTATTATATCATCCAGGTGATGACAGCGGAATAAACCAAAGTAGTAAAAAATACTCAGTATTGTAAATTATTATGAATAGTGGTAGAGTTAAACGCCCCACGAACTTAACTCAGTCCAGAAATTTTACCACATAATGTCACCAATGACCAAAAAGGACTTTCTAAATCCTCAATTCCACATTTACAATAGTTACGATATTTACAGGGTGATCATATTTATGATCAAAAACCATACATGAACTTCACAGCAGTAAATACTTTTTTTTATGAACGGACGAACATGTGCCTGGTGGTAGGCGACACGCCTGTCCGTAACAATTGCAGTGCCACTCAGAGCTTTAAATCACAAAGATCTGAAAAGCACTACCACTACGCCCGTCACCCTGAGACATAAGTTGATAAGTCCCATGTAATTTCACCAGCACCCTTCAAAACCCGAAACAAAGTAATGCTCACATTAGTGCTTGGCGGCAGAAATAGGTAAGGTAGCAGTATTTCCCTGGACGAACTAATACTACCACTGCTACTAATAATAATAAATATGGCAGTAGCAGTAAAGCTCCCCGTGAAAGAGTTCTTCGGAGCAAGTACTGCCACCTTACCTATTTCTGCCGCCATGTAGTAATGTTAGCATTACTGTGTTTCGGTTTTGAAGGGTTGGTGAAATTACAGGCACATGGGACTTGTCAACTATGTCTCAGTGACGGGTGCAGGGGCAGAACTCCTCAAATCTTTGCGATTTAAAGCTCTGAGTGACGTGGCACTGCAACTGTCATGGACAGGCGTGTAGCTTACTACAGGCGCATGAATTGTTCGTCCCGTCACTTAACATTATAAAAACAGTCAGTGTAAATACATTTTTGTGTTTTAAGAACGCGTACATTTCCACGCTATTTTTGCTTCACACGACAAAAATATATATGTCGGTCACAGAGTAGTAAATTATAAATTTTAGTGACACGCTACTGTTCGAGAAGGTCAGAATTCTTAGTTTAATGTACACTGTATACATAGCCTCTGTCATGCTAGCTCTTATTTAGAAAATCATTAATGCGCACTCTAGATTGAATTATTTAATAATGTGTCAAAGTACAGTCACATACACAAGATACCTAACCCCCTAGCCGACTTTGTCGACCTTTTGGTTCTGAGCACAAAAATGTGGAGAAAATTGTTAAACAAACTTAATCTTTAACATGTGAGCCGTAAAATTTATTTTGGTATGGCTCCCTAGTCGTCTCATTACAAATGACATTGTAAGAAAGTTTTTAAGCCAATGTGATGTTTAACGTATAGTTCTTACTTAAATACAGAATATCAATTTCAACAGATATAGTAAGGAAGCGTTGCCTAGCAGTATAAGAATTGCTTTGCTAGTTGACGCAAGCATGATTCGAATCACATTAAAAATAATAACATTGTATTTTTTTGTTTTTAACCTCTGGATAGGTGTAAGGAATGTCCAAAAATGTTATATTCTCAAAATAAACCACCTCCCACAAACATTAGGTCAATGAAATAAAAGTAACCTTCTTGAGTAATTTAACAAATATTTTACTATTTTATTCTTCTAAATTATAATTAGTAAACATATTTAAAATACTTACAGCCTGTATCAGTAACTACTGTATTTTTTTAAACTCACTACACAATTTTCACAATTTTATCGATATTGACAAAACGTTCGAAAACTAATTTTATTGCTTAAAGTAGATAGCTACTGTCGATACATTTTTCATGAAGAGTAAACAAACCGGTTTGGTTAAAATTCTTAAACAATCACTCAATTAATGGAATACCTTACGCATTCATATTTGAAGATTTCAACATGATATCTCACTAGTTGTTTCAATATTATTCATTTGAATAACATGTTAAAATCTCATTTGAAACATGTTATATAGGTAATCTTTTATGCAAATGAATTGAAACGAACTATAGTTTTATAGGCTGCATTTTTACAAAATTATACGGTAGTGCAGTGAATAGACATGTTAAAAAAATAACGATAACATCACTCACACTTTACATTATTTTTGCTTAGCGATGACTTATAATAACTATAATATCTATTATTAAAAACTACACAATTACTACTTCAATACCGCAAAGGAAAGCCTTCAGAATCGATCACTTACTGTAAACGGTCTTTCATGCCTGTGACCATAGACCAGCATAAATCTCCACCACGCATTGACTCCCACATGGACACCACAAGGTCTTTCTTCCTGGTCCTTATTTCATAAATTTGAGCAATTGATTTTGTAGTGGCAAAGGGATCTTCAATATGGCGATTGACAATATCTAGGTGACGACTAGATGCAGAAGTAAACATTACCGGTGCTGGCCCCGGCTGATTAATATTTCCAGTCGCTCTGTGGCGATTGATCCACAGCTTGACAGTGTTTCTCTGTGAACAAGCAACTTACGTTTAAATAGACCCTCATAATCGTAGTTTCGAATTTCAGCTAATGCTATATTTATATATATTTTTAATTTTAATGATTCGTTAAACATGTTTTATAATACCCGTGGTATAATGAAGGATGGGATGGTCCTTTTTGCAAACTGAAGCCAGCTGCAGCACTGTAAAAATATAATGAGTCTACTTACCTCTATATGAAGTCGCCTTGCAATTTCTTTGATTGGCACATCTTATTCATACGGAACAATAATTTATAATTTTAATTATTCCGTTAAGGGTGGCGTATTAAAACAAGAAAGAATACTTTGAAAGTAATT